CAGTGAAACAGAAGTAATTGCTGACTTTCTTTTCTGTCATGGTTTCTTCCTCCAAAATGTGAAGTAAGTAGTGCTCGTACCAGTCATCTTGTAGTTTTTGTAACTTAAATTTCTTCCTAATTTCTTTCCTACGAATTATTTTATATTGTATAATTTGGACTTAAAAATAATTTGGGAGGCATAGTCTAGGAGAATCAAAGTTTACTGATACAGAAAGAGTTGTTCATTGTGGATGAGCTGATTTACCTTAATTATAATTCTTCCCACATTAGGATTCAGAATTTGCTAATCATTTCAATGAGATCACTTAGAAACTAGAGAGTGACTCTTCCAGTGTATGTAATGAAGCATATTCTCATCGATTCTAAACCTGCTGAGGACCTAGGTATTGTTGAATCCAATTTCTACTTATTTTCTTACCGTATTTTTCATAACAAATACCGATTTCACTGTGCTGTCTTGTCCCTGACCAAACATACCTGCCTCAGTGCCTTGCTAAATTTCCCCAAGCAGCTCCGTGGTTTCCACAGCTTTCTGTGGTTTTTACCACATCTGTTTTCTTCTTCCTCTCATTTCTTCTTCTTTATAATAAATGTTTTTGCCATCCATAGGTTCACAGCTTTTGTCTTGCTGCTTTTGGGGTTTTTATATCCAAGACAAGAATTTAGCCATTATTATACTTGGTCTTAAATACACGGAGGCTGAGGCTGCTTTTTCCAAAGCAACTTATTTCTGTCTTGAAAATGTTAGAAAGTAAGGTAGAGTTGCTGGTATATTTTGTTTCTTTCTCATCCCACAAGGAAAAGATGAGACAACATGTTAAAAAACAGTAAAATATGTGTTAATGTGCAGGTAAGTATGCAATCATTGCTATGACTTTGAACTCTTTAGTTATGGAAGTCCTCCTGTCTTTTTCAAAAGTTATCATTTCAAGCAGTATGAGTTTATTTAAATTGCCATGAATCACAAAGTAGGGTGCACTTCCGTTTGGTTAAACATCTCCTAAAATCATATAGTTTGTCCCATTTCATTCAAGCTTTATGCAATTAAGCAAGAATAGTTCTTTCCAGAAGATTCTCCCATACCCTAATTTTCCTTTTTCTGCCACAGTTCCTAGTCTAGCAAAAATGAAGTTAGACTTGTCTAAGTGCAGCAAGTGAAAAAAAGAAGACACATTGTGTACTCTTAGTCCCACACTTATTAAACAGGTGGTAATTTTGAAGAGAAATCTTTGCCATTTTCTGCGGGCTCCTTCTCAACACTGGCAGCCCAGAGAAGCCAGTCTTCATTTCTTAGTATGATACATGTTAGTAAGAAGAAATCTAGGGATGTGAGATTATATATGTTTTTGTCTTTTTAATCTCTAGTCAGTAATTGCTTCAAGCATAAATCAAAAGGTTGCTTTGTCACAAAATACTTATTTCCAGATATTAATGTGGTTTTGCGCCTTTGAAGATTTTACCACTTTGAAAAATTACTGTAGCAGCTGCAGATAACTGCAGCTTTCACTTTTGATTTTATCAGCATCTTCTCATTCTCTCTTTTCTTTTTTCTTCTTTTTCCTTCATCCCATATTACTGCAACTATAGTGTTACTCCTTTCTTTATGATCTTGCTTTGTCTTGCTTACCTTTCCATTTCCCTTCTTTCTGTAACTCTTCCACATACCAGGTGGACATGGAAGTAAATCTCTCCCAGTCCCCTGCTGGGCCCGATCCTGTGACCCTTTCCATCCCATGGGCAGTGTGAGGTGAAGGGGCGTTTGAAGTCCCCTCCTTGGACTCGTTTTACTTCTTAGTGGGGCAAATGTAGGGGGGACTACATATAACCTTATGCTGGTGTAGTTTCCAATACCTGAAGGATATTTCTAAACAAAACACATTGATTTTCAGCTGGCTCAGTTCATTGAATTGGATGCATAGAAGCAATAGCAGAGGGAAAGTAAGACTGAGCTCAGTTTGATCAAAGCTTAAATCATACCTTTAGTTCATGAATCACATCCTGCTTCTACAAATCTTCCTACCTTTTCCTCTTTACCTCCATTTTTAGGTCTTTTAAGGTGCTTTTTTGGTTAATTTTTCATTCAGATCTTATTTCCCCTAACTTTAAGGAAATGTATTGGTATTAAATGGAAGTTCTGTGGATGCTTTTGAGTCCGTCTGTCTCCTGCTAGACTTGACTCTTGCCTTTGTTAAGTTTCACATGCTTTCCACTGTGCCAGTTTTGCATCTGCTTAGAAAACCAGTGGTGAGCATCGTGAGAAGGAAGCAGATAAGTGGTTTGTGTTGGCTTAGTTTTACATCAGCTTTTATTGCTTCCAGATTCTGCTTTGCTGGTACGTTGAAAGCAGTTTAACAAACTTCATTTTATCTTCACTAGAGAAACTGACATCAGAAAACATGATAATTGTGTGATCTTTGTCTCTTCTTTTTGTAGAGAAGTGTTTGCTCAGGGGGTTCTGTGAGGAAACGCAGGTTGGAGAGGTACAGGTGCAAGGCACAGCATAGGAGATTTTTTCCGTTGTTTTCTTTCTTTTTGGAAGCATCTGTCTCTTCTTACATGTTTATCAGGAGCATTTTACATAGCTAGCACTTGATTAAAGGCAGTCCATAAAACTCATATTGCAACGTGTTGTCCAGTTTGTTAGTCTGTGTCTATACAGTGCCAGCTGCGCAGTGGGAATGTGCTGCTGAGCTGGGCCAGGATGAGACCCGGGACAGGCAGCACGAGGTGGGAGACCCCCGTAGCACGGAGGGGGAAAGCAGGACTACGGAGAACACATGCTCCTCTCTTTAGGCATAGCTCCAGGGTTACTCTGCAGTTGGCACCAGGCACCTGAGTTCTTAATGACTCCTTCGAGTGTTATAAGGTCTTGCTGCCTTATGTTCAAAAATAGTGGAAGGGATGTTTTAAAAACGCGTAAATACAAGTGTTTCATGAGAGTATTGGTGTTTGAACAGTCTTTGCTTTCTGGTAGGTTTCATCATATTGGGAGATCAGTGGGCTTTTAAAGACCTTATCAGAAGGGAAAAAAAGATTCGATGTTTTTGTTTGCATAATTGAAGAAAATGTCACCCAACGAGAAACTTTTAAAACACTACTTTCTTTCTGGGAGTAATAAAAATGCAGGAAGTGAGTAGCTTGAATTTAAATGGAGTAATTCTGTAAGGGTGACTGGAATGCAATTCCCAAGAAGACAGGACTGGGATCCAGGAGCTGATTATCTATACTTATACTCACCCAGAGTTTTTTATGACTTAAAAGTACAGATTAACTATTCTAGTCATATGTATTTTAGGAAAGAGAAGAAATACATGGAGGAACGCTGGAAAAATATCAACGTTGGGGACTTCATCCGGCTTTCACGTAATGAGACATGGTGCTGTTGTATTCCACTGACCCGGACGGAATCTGTTACATTGAAACAGCAGGCCTTGATGGAGAAACCAACCTAAAGCAGAGGCAGGTGGTGAGAGGATATTCAGAACAGGTGATTATTGTGTGTTTCTATTGGTTAAGAAAGTCAACATGCCAAATGATCAACGAACCAACCCTTAACTTCCAGATTGCCTTGTTCTTGGGAGCTCAGCAATCCCCATCTGAAAGCAAACTAACCAGATAACATAGTTTTAGTTTGTGTTTGGAGTTATTTTGGAGCAAGTATCTGAGAGCTTACATATTATAGAATAGGAGGGCCCTATTTCAAGTGACACAACCCAGTAAAAATAATTATTTATCAGGGTGTCACTTATCTTTTTATAGGGATGAAATTGGGTATATTTTTAGAGAAGAGCTCTGTACCTTATCTCCCCGTTATATTCTCTATTTTTTTTTTGTCTTATGCAAGTGCCTATTTAGCTCTAACTTTATTCCTTCAAGGATCTCTCAAACTCTTGGAACCTTTCTGACTTTCTGCAACAAGCCTACTGTGAACAGCATTAACTGGGTCATCTTACCTTTGAAGACTGAATGTCACTGCATCTCAGCAGTTTTCCACACAAGTGGTGGTGGAAACTCGGTAGATCTTTGCTTCCCTAATGTGGCAATCACATGTTTAGAGCTTTATAAGCAATTCATAAAAGCCATTTCAGGTCCTGAAGACATGATTGAAACGACAGACAAACCAACAGACAAACCAACCTTATTCAATATTAAATCTACTAGACAAAATACTGGAGACCAGCACAAAGAAGATGGTGTCGAAAGAAAATAAAAATACCCTGACTTATGTTCAGGCTTCAGCACATCTGGTGCTGAGTTCTGGTGCTGAAGCAGACCACACTAAACACAACAGTAGAGAGGACTCAGTGCTGTCTGTCTGTAAGGACAGACTGTTTAGTTCTCTGGAGATAACATCACAAGAACCTGCATCAGCAGCAGTGATGAGGAGGTGAGGAGGAGTACCCCAGCCCGCTGAGGATCTAGTCTCTGAGGATAGTGAGCTATATAGGGAATAAATTGACACTGTCCTGTTCCTTTCAAGAGATTCAAAAGTTATTTCCCTAATAACAACTTAATCTCATTTTCCTTCCCTACCTCACAGGTTTAGCCAAATTGTACATAGATCCACCAGGTTGGAGTAACCAAGATACCATTAGCACTGAGTCACTGTGTGTGGCAAGTGTTTTGTGTTAAAAGAGAGGCCACAGGACCACACTGTCAACTTCTGAGCTCATGTGGCCAATGATTGAATCCAGTCCAAGCTGCAGCATCCTCAAACCCAGTGGAGGGCAAAGTGCTATGTCCTTTCCTGCCAGGTTCAGGAAGGGAGCTGTTTTCCTTTTCCGTCTTGGCTGTGCACCCCTTTCCAATGCCATGTTATCAAGCGACCTCGAGTCAGAAGCACAGTGCAGCGGAAACAGCAAATCTGGCCTTGGGAAGCTGCCTCCCCCGCCATTCCACTGGCGAGAGGCTGATATGGAAATCATCACTCACAGCCACTCATTTGGTTCCCATCTTTCTGTCTGATCACGCTTCTTTGGTGCTTCTTTAAAGACCTTTCCATAGAATGCAAGTGGCTTTTATTCTGTAGAAAAAGCTTCTCTTTTATGCTCTTTTATGCTAGGAACTGTAGCAGTGAAGAGTGAAGGCAATATCCTTTATTTCTAGTGCTTATTGTGAAGAAGTTAAGATTATAAATGAGGTAGACTAGACTATAAATTTATTCTGGCCAGTGAAGGTTGGAGTGCACACACCAAGATGCCTTCTTGTGCATGTAGTTTTAGTTACCTCTGATTTTTACTGATATACAGTGGCTGTCATGAGTTGCACACAGGGGTTTTGTGGTTGCTGTTTCTCATTATTGCAAAAAGTTCTTAGGAACTGCTTCACTGCGGTTAAGGATCTCTCCAATTCAGATGGTTTAGTTGTGTGCCAAAAATAATATGGTTTCACCAGAAATATATGTCTAGAGATAGTTTCCAGAATGCAGAAGAGAAGAATCAACTGCTTTGGTTATTTTGCTTCCTTTTGGGGATAATCCTTATTTTCTTTGTTCTCTTTCTTTTGCGTAGTCATTGCACAATGCAGCATGCATGAGAAGCATTAATGAATACCCTGTAATACATTTTATAGAAATTTTGTACTTCCTGTATAAATAAGAGGGCAATTAGTGGAGAAAAAGGTCCTTTGCAGTTACTTAATGACTTTCAATTACATTTACAAAGAGACTGAAGATTCTGTCTAGGACTGTTCATGACTTAGTACAGTGCCAGCTAGGTGTGTGCTAATAATAAAATGTTATGTTTTCTGAATTTCAAATTCTATTCATGTGTTTGTGTTTTAGTCCCCATGTTATTCTCCTCATGTGAAGCACCACTCAGTTATAGGATATAGCCTTTTAGGTGAGCTATAATTACAGAGAGGGTGTTGTAAGTTCAAAATGAGAGTTGCAGACTTAGACTTGGAGTTTGTAACCTTGAATTGGCCAATCATTTTTTGTAAAGAGCAGAACTATTTTGCAAAGGTGGGCACTCAACTTAGAAACAGTTCTGCTATATCAGAGACTAAATTTCCACATATCCTGACTATACTCATATCCTATTAATTTCAACTTCAGTATTGGTTCAATCGTCATTAAAAAGCTCTACCTGAAAAACTTTCTTTATGTTAGCACAAGTACCAACATAGTTCAGAAGCAGTTCTACTTACAGAGAAGTCGGTGTCTATTTTTTCCTCATCATAAAAAAATATATATTTTTTGATTTGAGAGTTGAAAAATCTCTGTTTTTCGTATGTCCTTATTGCATGTTTCTTCCTGCTTCATCACTTCCCAGAGTTTTCTCCTTTCCAGTGTTCTCAAGATATCAGCAACTCAGCTGCTACCTGCCAAGGTTTAATATTTACTGGAAAGTCCTTGCTTGCCTTTTAAAGTCTGATTTGCCCTGCGTTGTAAATATGCTAAGAACAGCAATTCACAAGGTTGAAGCTAAGTTGTTAGTGATATGTGAATTTGTGAGTTTCCGTGTTCTTCTACATTTAGTCTGAATTCTGTTTTTTGGGGGGTTTTGTTTGTTTTTGTTTTGGTGTATTTTCCACGGCTTCAGGTCTCTGAAATGGATCCAGAGAATTTTTCCAGCAGAATAGAATGCGAAAGTCCTAACAACGACCTCAGTTGCTTCCGAGGCTTTATGTGAGTAGCTTTGCTAACTCTTTGACCTAATGTCATTTGCTTTGGTGTTCATACAGATTTTCAGAGAGTTAGTCATGTTCACTTTAAAAAATGATTACCATAAATTTGGGGGCTTTAGGGAGGTTTCTGCTTGTTGGTTTTTTCTTTTGGATGAGTTTTCATCACTATGTTTCTGAGTGCAGCCAAGCAGATAGAGCTCTAGAAAGGACTTTCTAAATAGCAGGCTGTAAACTGGGGAAGCTCACTAGTAGTCTATTTTTTTAATTGAAATTTTTCAACACCTTAGTTCAAGTTACTTTGCAATTGTGTATTCCTCATTTGAAATGGTCATTTAAATCTCCTCTTAATGATATGTGGCATCAGTAATTATGTCCTTATTCAGTCCGAACCGCTTCCTGGTTGGACAAGCTGCACTGCTCAGTATTGGCAATGGGCAGGACTGATTTCCACCCCTGCCTGGTGTGGAACCCTCAATGACTTGACCAGAATCATTTTCATCCAAGTTTCTCATCTATCTCTTTTACTCTGAGGAGCCTATGATTTTCCTATAGACATTAGGAAAGCAAAATGCTTTTTGATGGAGTGGCTAGTTTTCAATTTCTACTCTTTTCATGATAGACAGTGATATGTTGGAGATATGGAAAAACAACATGCACATAAATCTCAATTTATGTTATGTTACCTTTAAACAAAGGTAACAGGGGACTCACCTGCACTGAAAGTATGCCATGGGGGTAACCATGTGCACAATAGTTTTAAAAGGCGATCCTAAGTGGTGTTTGAATACATGTGATGTTGGCAATCCAAATAGAAGTTATTTGCTTTGAGACTTAGTGTTTGTTCTGAGCTCATTTCAGCTTCTGGTAAGCAAGCACCAGACTTGGAAACATACAGTAATTTTACTACAGTGCCTTCATGACTAGATTTTTCAAAGGCAACCAGCATGCCAAGTGCCCCATTCTTTTGAAGAGTGCCAGAAGTGTCCAGAAGAGTAGGCAAGGGACTAGCAGCCTCTCTGGAAAAGACTGATGCTTTTCCAGAGTTTGGCTGGTAATTGGTGGAGCCCTCTGGACTTGCAGAGTAAACGAAGATGCTGTACTGTCCTTTCAGTGAGCATTCCAACAAGGAACGAGTGGGTCTCAGCAAGGAGAACTTGCTGCTTCGAGGATGCACAGTGAGAAACACGGAGGCCGTTGTAGGCATCGTGGTATATGCAGGTGAGTGAACCATCCTGGCTTCTCAGAATGCTTTGCAAACAAGTTGTGTGCCCTAAAAATGGCATCATACAAAGGGAACTGTCTTCTCTTTTGCCTGAGAGGACAAGCTTGAATCCACCGTAAGACAGCTGTAGCTTAAAGTAGCTTAAAATGTTAAGAATGCATGTCTGAATTGTTAACTTCTGTTTTAGAAATGTAGAGGGCAGATATGTCTGATTATGCATGAGAGGCCGGTTCCATGCTGTGTGAACAGCAGCTTTTATTTAGCTGTTGTTAGCTGTGGTAGCAAATCCAAATCTGGAGAGGGTCTTGGAGATCTGTGGCTTTTTTAGGTGTTTTTTCTGATCTAGAATTGAACTTAATGCTGTTATTCAGTATTCTGTATCAAAAGGAAGGTGTTTTAGGGCTAATCAGTGTTAAATGTTATATATTCAGTCAGATACTTATAATGTAGGTGCAGAATGTTGTAGAAATATTAGAAATAATGCAGAAAATACCAAGAATATAATTGTTGCTATAGGAAGAAACCTATTAACAATATGAGATACTGTATGGATAAGATATTGATTTATTTTGTTTTCTTTAGAACAGAATAACTTCATATACTATAGGAGCAGTTAGTTACTTTGCTTATGTTTGGTATCTCTTTTCAAGTACTATTTAACAGAAACATCCAGTTTCCCAGAACTTGAACTGTAGCAATATATTTTACTTGTGATACCTGTTAGCGGAGAATTTCAACCTGTGTTCTGGTTACAGGTCATGAAACCAAAGCCCTGCTGAATAATAGTGGCCCACATTACAAGCGCAGTAAACTGGAAAGAAGAGTGAACACCGACATCCTTTGGTGTGTTCTGCTGCTAATTTTAATGTGTTTAAGTGGGGCAATAGGTAAGTAAATATCTGTAAACTCCTGCTATTTTCCTCTTTCATCCTGCAGTTCTTACTATTTTATTTTGGGTGTGATTAATTTTAACTGCTCCTCCCAGAAACTACTTTTACCTGAGTGTAATTCCCTCGCAGTTGGGGGTGCTGCCAGGTTTGAGTTCATGTTTAGTGTTCAGTACAGTCAAGGGATACATTTCTGGTGAAAGTTCTTAGGTCTGGAGGCCATTTCTCCTGTTCATTTCCCTCTTCCCTCACTAATTGCTCTGCAGAACTCATTTTTTCTTCAGGAATTTTAAAATGCTATGCATGTGCAGTATTGTGGGAGAGGTCTAATTTGAGTCGAGTTGTATTCAATATTTTAGGGGGTGATTAGAAAGTGAGCTAGAATACCAGAATCTGAACACACTAAATTTTATGACAAATCAAAAACCTGTTTAAAAGATGTTTTAAAAAGTTTATTCACTTAATAAACATGTCTTATGCACTGGAATCACAATGTGTGTTAACTGAAACTGCTTTTGCAGTTGAATTTTAAGTTTCCTACCGTAAACTAATCTTTTGGTTTGCACAGGATCTCTTCTATGCCAATATTTATTTCACAAAGCCATAGACTGGTTAGCTTATTTAGAATCAGATAATTACAGGTTATTACAGGTTACATGAAACTTGGACAAGCAAAGATAAGACTATTCATTGCCAGATTTTTTTCAAAGATTTTTTTTTGAAGTGTTTAGCAAGTCTAACTAGTATTCTTATAGTTTTGATATGTGCTGTATCAGATGTGATGTCGATATGGATGTAATAAACCATTTATTCATGAGTGCATTGGAGAGTTAATTGAAATGGGGTTCTCTTGGAGGAAAAGCCCAAGAGACAAAGTGATTTTTAAAGGCTTAGAGGTAACTGCATAGTAGAAACAGCTAACACCATGACGCTGAACCACGGTGCATTCTACATAAAAGTGATCCCCTTTGTTTTGTTCTTGTTTTCAAGGCCATGGAATTTGGTTAAGTAGGTATTCGGAAATACCATTTTTTAACATCCCCGAGCCAGATGGGAAATTGATTTCTCCAGCATTAGCAGGGTTCAATATGTTTTGGACAATGGTCATTTTATTACAGGTAACTGGTCTGTTTTGAACATGGGCCATATTATGTTCTTATTTATATCCCTGTAGTAACTCTTTGGCTTCACAAGAGTTGCTTCAAGTTTGTAACTGGTCAAGGAATTTGATTTCATTTATTTCTCTTCTTTTTTTGGTAGGTGTTGATCCCAATTTCTCTCTATGTTTCAATTGAAATTGTCAAATTGGGACAAATTTATTTAATTCAGAATGACATTGATTTTTACCATGAGAAGACAGACTCTACTATTCAGTGTCGAGCTCTGAATATTGCTGAAGATCTTGGCCAGATCCAGTATATCTTCTCTGACAAGACTGGGACTCTCACTGAAAATAAGATGGTTTTTCGGAGGTGCAGCATTGCGGGACAGGAATATTGCCATGAGGAAAACGGTAGGACATGAAAGAATCTGTGTGCATGATGAGTCCTTTCTCTGATCTCAGGGAACCTGGAAGTTCATAGGTCTGCCCTATGGGCCTCAAGTATTCAGGGAAGGTGTGAATTCAGAGTGGCCCCACTGATAGACATGCGCTTTTCCCTTATTTGCCACTCTCCATCATTTTTGAAAGATCCTGGAGAATGGGGGAGGTGCCGGGGGACTGGAAGAAGGCCAATGTCACACCAGTCTTCAAAAAAGGCAAGAAGGAGGACCCAGGCAACTACAGGCCAGTCAGCCTCACCTCCATCCTCGGAAAAGTGATGGAACGGCTCATACTGGCCATTGTCTCCAGGCACATGGAGGACAAGAAGGTGCTCAAGAGGAGTCAGCATGGATTCACCAAGGGGAAATCATGCTTGACTAACCTGATAGTCTTCTACAATGGAATGACCAGCTGTATAGATGAGGGGAGAGCGGTGGATGTCGTCTATCTCAACTTCACCAAGGCTTTTGACACCGTCCCTCACAACATCCTCCTGGGCAAGCTCCGGAAGTGTGGGATAGATGAGTGCACAGTGAGGTGGATTAGGAACTGGCTGGATGGCAGGGCCCAGAGAGTGGTGATCAGCGGTGC